TTCATGATTTCCTTATAATTACTCCAACTTTTATATCAAAATCGGAAAAACAGCACATAATCTACAACATAAAACTAATTATCATAGCTTTCCCATCCAGAAGCTAAGGCCACAATGACTTAATTTTATGGATGACATCCTCTGAAGACCCGAAAACTAATGCGAGGGGGCAAATAAAAAAAAAGTCCAGCCAACAAAAATGCTGCTAAACCACAGAAATGCAAAGCTGGTACTGTAAATTTGCTGTAAACAAGCTGACACATGCTGGCCTTTTACAGCATTTACAAATGTATGAGTCACCACCAAGTTCTAGAGTTCCATAGACGATGATAGAGCCTCAGTAGCCTGGGTGCCATCCTCTGTACTGTCGGATCCCTATTGTCGCTAGCTAACCATAGTGAAAAGAGATTGGCTGACCTCCTGGACCTGTTCCCTGAGCAGCCTGTCCCTCTCCTGTAACAGGCTGATCCACTCAGTCACTACATGGTCCTGGATGGCTGCAGAGGGCAACATGGGGAAGCTTTGTAGACAACAACACTTATCACTAAAAGAGTAAAATTCATGACACAAGATTGTGTATATAGAAAAGCAAACAACTCCTGCAATTAAATGTGCAAAGATTGAGTGTAACAAGTCGTTAGGTGTAATGTAGCTAGCTGCCGACGCGCCGTGTGCCTGTGAAGCTGGTGTGTTACGCCGAAGGGCAATTATACCGGCTGTACCAATACAGATACAGAACTGTTTCCCGACTGACCCTAGAAAAAAGTCATCATGGGCCCCAAACACAGAACTTCACTGTACTGTCACAGGTAGCATAGCTTGTTATATGATTTACCTGTAACGTCTAACTCCTCAGCTTCGGGTGTCTCCTGTAGCAGTTCCTCCCTCCTCTGGTCCAGGGCACGTTTCTTGGCTGATCTGGACAGTCTGCGGTCCTGCCAGCTGTACATGTTAGTAGTGTTACCTTCTACATCACCAGGGCTGTGGTCTGGTTCAGGGGTCGGTGTTGTTGGCTCTGTAAGATATATCATATGGGACGGTAATTAATAACTAGAACGTCACCTGCACCTTCGGTTTTGATATAGACATTTAAGTTACAGCCTTGAGCACTGCTGCAAGTATGGATTATTTGTACAATAATTGTAGATATTGTTTTATTTCAAATCAACAATAATTTAGATTCCCATGAACTTTCCCAGTTACGGTGAATACAGAAATACAACTCGTTAAATACTGGCATCGCTTAGTTAATTTATCCGAAGATGCCCTGCTTCGGGAGGCATACAATACTACCTTGCTTGGAGAACATGATTGGATTATACATGTGAAAGACATTCTGAACCTCAATGGTTTTGGGCACATATGGCTTAACCCGAAGTCATATCACATAGACACAATTACTACTCAGCTGAAGCAACGTTTACAAGATATCTATATACAAAACTGGCATTGTGCCATTCGAAACAATTCTAAATTATCTTTCCTTTCCACCTTAGACAAGAATTACAAGCAAGAAAATTACCTTTCTAACATAAAGAGCTTTGACATACGTCGAGCAATCACAAAACTCAGAATTGGATGTCACAAACTCAGTATAGAAACCGGAAGATTTCAAAGGCTTCCTATTGACCAGAGGGTTTGTCCATTCTGCCCAGAACTAGTTGAGAAATGAGTATCACTTTTTGATGGAATGTCCTAAGTATGTTGATGTACGCAATTCATTAAATACGAAACTATCGTCATATGTACCAGAATTTACATCGATGGATTTAAGTAGCAAATTTAAGATAATAATGACCTGTGATAACTCATGTATGGTAGATATAGGAATGTATATCAAACAATGTCTAGACATAAGAAATTCCTCCAATATTGTAAAAGTTCATTCACATCCTATATCAGCCACAAACTCCTGTATTAGTTAGTTTAGTCCATAGTTAAGTTTATAGATAAGTTTTGCCATACTTTGTACCATGTACAACTGTTGTGCAATAAAGTTATTATTATTGTAATAATACTACTAGCAAAATATACTCGGAACATCATATGTTCAAGGTATTGCTGCATAGTAGTAGTTCATTTGATCCTCTGCTATAGTTCATTTCTATCCAATATTTAGATTATGAAATGAATATTGTTTACCTATCAACTGATATACTGTTATACAACTTAGACAACATGTTTGATGCACGCATGAACAAATTTTTTGGCAGTTGTTCTGGAGCACTTGGCGAAGTTTCACCGCTTGTTTATGCTAACATATGATTTATTCAAGATATGTGTAAACTTAATATCATCTACATGGATCCTACATCAACCAGTCATTCAGTTCCCTTGCAACAAGCAGAAAACCGGATTTAAAAACGCCCACCTGGCAGATTTTCCTTGTCCACTGCAGCCATCTTGGGTTTTGAAATTCGTGTTATCACAAATCACGTGGTCAGGAACCAATCCTCACTGGAACGCTACACTTTTTTATAGGGGAGAAATTTGAATTTTGTAAATTTGCTAAATATTGTTTAAAATAGCGATTTCCTCTAATATTACAACAAATATAGCATTTACGTTGTGTAAAGAAGGAGCTTAAGATGTGTAGAACATGTTTTGTGTCTACTTTTGCTTAATTTTCTCGACAACTAAGGAGGTCAAAGGTCGTAACGCATAGACTGATGACGTAGTACGCATGAGGCTTCGAATCTTGCCGCGCTTGCTTCGGTTTCCCAAAGTTTCCTTCGTTTTATGGCCTCCTACTTTCGCTTTGTGACTTAATCTGCATTTTAGTTCGTCCGGCAGTACCTCACTGCTACCATGGACAGCGACAAGGAAGAGTCGTCCGCTCTCTCGGTCAGTTGAGGACGAAAAAGTCATCAGCATTGGTGGGGAGGGGGGCGGCTTCAAAGGGGAGAAAAATAATCTATGACATGTTACTAAGTAACATAATTTATGTTACGTGGGCGTATATGTGAATATGGCGCAGCTGGCTGCAATATTCCTCACGAACTAAGGTTTTGTTCTAGCGTTCTCACAGATTGCTTAGAGTGATGTCTCATATTCATAATTTTGGGTTGAAGCTAGCCTCCATAGCATGCCAAAAACTGGGGGTTTTGGGGGTCTTCAGGGTCTTTGGGAGCTTTTATGTGCTATTTTCTGATTGCATATAGACAACATAGCCGGCCTGGTTGAATTACCCCCGTTTCAGAAAACAGCGGAAGACCACCAAAACCCCAGTTCTATAAGCCTGCTACGGAGGCTAGGTTGAAGCTATCTGTTAATGTTGTTGTCTTCTGTATTTGTTTGTTTGTTTGGTATCAGCAAGAGGAACTGGAATGCCAGAAGATTGCTTCGTTAGATCGATTACTTGTTACATAGTCAATTTTCCTTTGGGTTGAACTTGAAGCTAATGTTGTTGTCTTCTCTTTGTTTGTTTGTTTGTTTGTTTGTTTGTTTGTTTGTTTGTTTATCAGCAAGAGGAGCTGGAACATCAGGAACAGATTGCCAAACAGTTCATCATGCCTGTTCACAAAAATTGCTTAGTTAGATGGATTACTTGTTACATAGTCTAAGATGCATTTGGGTTGCAGCTGTCTGTTAATGTTGTTGACTAATGTTGTTTGTTTGTTTGTTTGTTTATCAGCAAGAGGAGCTGGAACAACAGGAGCCAAACAGTTCATCATGCCTGTTCACAAAGATTGCTTAGTTAGATGGATTACATGTTACATAGTCTAAGATACATTTGGGTTGAAGCTGTCTGTTAATGTTGTTGTCTTCTGTTGTTGTTTGTTTGTTTGTTTGTTTGTTATCAGCAAGAGGAGCTTGAGCGACAGGAGCAGATTGCCAAACAGTTCATCATGTCTGTTCACAAAGATTGCTTAGTTAGATGGATTACATGTTACATAGTCTAAGATACATTTGGGTTGAAGCTGTCTGTTAATGTTGTTGTCTTCTGTTGTTGTTTGTTTGTTTGTTTGTTTGTTATCAGCAAGAGGAGCTGGAACGACAGGAGCAGATTGCCAAACAGTTCATCATGCCTGTTCACAAAGATTGCTTAGTTAGATGGATTACATGTTACATAGTCTAAGATGCATTGGGGTTGAAGCTATCTGTTAATGTTGTTGACTTATGTTGTTTATTGTTTGTTTGTTTGTTTATCAGCAAGAGGAGCTGGAACGGCAGGAGCAGATTGCCAAACAGTTCATCATGCCTGAACGTCAGGCCAAGATGGCTCAGCTGTTCAAACAGGTGGAGCCGGTACAGTACTGTGTCTGCCGCACATCTGATACTGACAGGTTCATGATGTGAGTATCTTCTATTTCTTTCTTACTGCATAGCCCCATCTTTTTTAATGACTCTCAGTGGCAAATTTGCAGATGTTGGCTTCTGCTTTTTCTTCTTCTGGGGTCTCCCCAGAAATTTTTAGGGGAGAGGTGCACCCTAATCGGTTGATGCCGCTATGTAAAAAAAATCAGCAAATTTCGATGATCCCGGGCCCTGGGTTTAGGTTGATCCCTAGTTTATTTACTGTCAGCTCAGCAAGCAGATGCTATGATTTTCTTTACATCAGTGTTTTTGGTATGCTAATGCAGCCTGTGAAAATAAGGACATTTTCTTACATCATCATCATCATCTTGTATACCCCCAAATAACCCCACGAGGGGTGCCGTTAGGGGGGGAGAGGAGGTCCAGGCTAAGGCGGGCAGGCCGCCAGCCCGGCCCGGAACGACTCAACATTGGGAGCCATAATGGCAGAGAAGGGCAAGAAGTTCCACTTGGGGATGGTTAGGGGAAAGAAAGAAAACCTGTATGTGTCTGCATGAATTTCTAATACCCTACTTTCTTTACACACCCAGAGGATGTGAGAAGTGTGACGAGTGGTTCCATGGAGACTGTATCCAGGTCAGTCAGGAGCTGGCCAGGACCATCAAACGCTGGTACTGCGCTGCCTGCATGGGTAAGTCTGAGGTTTAACTATCCAGGACCATCAAACGCTGGTACTGTGCTGCCTGTATGAGTAAGTCTGGGGTTTAACTATCCAGGACCATCAAACGCTGGTACTGCGCTGCCTGCATGGGTAAGTCTGGGGTTTAACTATCCAGGACCATCAAACGCTGGTACTGTGCTGCCTGTATGGGTAAGTCTGGGTCTTAACTATCCAGGACCATCAAACGCTGGTACTGTGCTGCCTGCATGGGTAAGTCTGGGGTTTAACTATCCAGGACCATCAAACGCTGGTACTGCGCTGCATGCATGGGTAAGTCTGAGGTTTAACTATCCAGGACCATCAAACGCTGGTACTGTGCTGCATGCATGGGTAAGTCTGAGGTTTAACTATCCAGGACCATCAAACGCTGGTACTGTGCTGCCTGCATGGGTAAGTCTGAGGTTTAACTATCCAGGACCATCAAACGCTGGTACTGTGCTGCCTGCATGGGTAAGTTTGGGGTACATCTACAGCCTACAGGGACTTTTTTGTATTAGCAGTCTATCTTTATGTCTGTATTTCAGCATAATTGTGGCTGTATAGACTGAATATACTATAAATTAATTTATTTTTGCAAGGACAAAATTTCTTTTAGAAGGGAAAAGACTGTGCTTTTAGTTCACAAATGAAGTGATTCAGTAGTAATTATATATTGGAACTGAAATATTTGCTGTGTCGTGAAGTTTGCAGTTGAGAGGTCAATGGGAAAAAACATGAAAACCATCAACATTTAAAGATCTACACTGTAGGTTATCCTGATATTATTAAGACTGTCTGAGGAATAACAAAAAGTCTCTATACGTTTCATTCACAGAGAAAGACCCAATGCTTCAGATTCGCTACCACACAAAGAAGGAGAAACACAAAGACAAGAAAGACAAGAACAAAGACAAGAAGAAGAAACTGAAGAAGTTGTTAAAGAAGCACCGCCACAGCAGCAGCGGCAGCGGCCTGGACGTTACCCTGCCCTTTGACCTGGAGAAGACCAAGAAGGTAGCAGTGTCACACGTGTCAGAAGAAACAGTATGTGTTTGAGTCGTTCTGGACAGTCTTGTGGATTGGCAACTCTTTCTACTAGTCTACAAACACTGTCCTTTTGCTATGATTTATCAATAACTTCTCTCTTTTACTGCACTTCACCACTACCTTTACGTAGAGCAAGCACCTCACTATCTTGTGTTACTTAAAGAATCATTTTCTTTCTTTAACACTTCTATTTGCCATCCTTTCTGGCATTTTCAGATCATCTTATTTATCTATAATCATTTTGAATGTATTTCATTATTCAGCTTTTCCACAGTTTTGTAAATGCTTATTGCTGTAATTTTAGAAAAGCACAACATACTAGTACCATTTATCTAGCGGTTACCAAACCTATTACAGCTCCCGAGTCTGCAAAGCTATTTGCGGAGAGGATGTAGGACTCGGGAGCTATAATAGGTCTGGTAACCAGGCTACCATTCATCATGTACATTGTAATTGTGGTATCTGTTTGAAAACTTTTTCCACTGCACATCACAGTATTTTTATACTATATTTTTATATATTTTTAAGAGAAAATGATGTTTTTTTTCCAGTTGACCCAGCAGCAGTTAGCGAATGCCCTGAAGCGCTCGTCCCGCATGTGTGGGGAGTGTGACGCCTGTCTGCGCACTGAGGATTGTGGGAAATGTGACTTCTGCAGGGTGAGTTCTGCACTGCATGTCTTAGCTAATATCAAAATCAGTCTGTTCAACTAGAAAGGTAACATTTGCAAAGCAAATGCATAATGTACCTTCGCATATGGTCTGCTCTGTTAATTCTCCAACCTTTTGTTTCAGGATATGAAGAAATTTGGAGGACCAAACAAAATCCGTCAGAAGTGTCGTCTGAGACAGTGTCTCCTGAAGTCAAGGGTAAGCGTTTATTTTAATATTGTCATTCAGGCAACATTACATGGCTGATATTGATTGATATGGAAATAAAAAATTGAATTGAATGGTTTGATATATGGATATTCTACAGAAGCTGCTGAGAGATAAGCTGGGCCGTCCTGTGTCCATGACCCGGTACATGGCACAGCAGAAGGCCCGAGCCTCGGCCGCAGCAGCAGCAGCAGCTAGAGCAGCAGCAGCAACAACAACAACAACAGACTCGGAGAGCGACGCGCACTTCTACAGCAACATTCTACAGTCACGGCCGGTCGGAAACAAGCACGACGCGTACGCAGACATGTCCGGCACCGTGTTTGAGGTTCATATTTTCTTTTATTGTACTTTTTCTCACACATTTGTCCTTTCCAAATAACACAGTAGAAAGTAAAAGTAGTATTCATATTAGTACTGTAGAATTTTTACAATGTTAAGAGTAATCATCTCTTTACTTTCTAATACATAATGATAAACAGATCTTACTTTTTGCACATGTATATCTTTCTGTCACTTTACCCTCAATGTTGCAATTATTAATGAGCAATTTGATCATGAAGTTGCCGCTGTATTATCTATTCTTACTGTATGAGATTTTACTTATTCATTTGCCTTTAGTATTAATTATTTACTTCTATGTTTAAATATATTGGACATCCTTGAAAACAGTCCATTACTTTTTAGATTACTAAAATAAATATCATACATATCAAATTTGTTGAGGAAAGAAATAATTGAACTGAATTATAGTAGAAACCTTATGGTTTTATTTATTTTTTATTCCCTGTAGTCCATAGGAACATCGGACCATGACTACACCGTCTTCCGCAGTCCTGGAGACAAGAAGAGAGCCGTCAAGTTAAAACATGCACAGAGTAGAGAGAAGAAGGTACATATGGGGAAGAAATACAAAGTACATCACCAAGATGTTAGTGTTATAGTAAAAAAAGATCCCCAGTTTCCTTTGATGTTATGTACTCAAAATTGCTATTAGCCATCAGGCATGAATTGTAAAAGAGATTCAATGTACAAACTATAATGGTACATCACTAATGCCTGAGTAAAGAGACTCTTTTTACACAACCAAGTGTTTTATTCACAGCCGATGTTTTGGTGACCGTCTGTCACCTTCCTCAGGGCAATTCTGACTGGTTCACATTGCACTGCAGCACAGGTGTCGCTGCTATAGATACATTCCCAAGACACCTGTACTGCAATCATGCAATGTGAACCAGTCAGAATTGCCATGTGAAAGGTGACAGACGGTCACCGAAACGTTGGCTGTGGATAAAACACTTGGTTGTGTAAAAAGAGTCTCTTAACTCAGTAACTTACCAAACTGATGAATCTATTCATGCATCACTCATACCTTTTCTAGCCCAAGCCACCCAAGAAGGCCCTCCAGCGACACAAGAGGAAGACGACCTCAGATGACACGTCTGGTGACAAGGTGAAGTTCGAGGACAGTAAGGACCCCCCGCGGCAGTGCTACGGTCCAGAGTGTGTGAAGGCAGCCAGGCCGGGATCCAAGTACTGCTCAGACGACTGTGGGCTGAAACTGGCCACCAAGTATGGCAACATTTCTGTATTACTTATTTATTTATTTACTCATTACAATTCTCCACAAACACATGTACATGGAAGGCATGGTGGAACAGGTGGACCTAAGTGCACTTTTTCAAGGCCAGTATGCAGACAAATAAATAGACATTGTGCATGAAAAATACAAAACAGTGTTAAATACATGACACAATAATACTACACAATAACTACATACAAATTATCTGTCCCAAATTGTATATTCTTGACAATTGAAAGTATAAATTGCCGAATTAATTGTATCAGATGTATACACAAGATTCTAAATTGGTAGAACCTGAACTTTTTCTTGCTTGTGTTTCAGTCGAATCTTTGAGTTTCTGCCCCAGAGAATTCAGCAGTGGCAACAGAGTCCCTGTATTGCAGAGGAAGGGGAAAAAAGGTAGGGCTAAAACCAATATTCTCAGGGTATACATAAAATCAAAGCTTAGTCCAATCCCAAAATATAATTATGTTTACCTTTGCAGAAGGAAATTATATTGTTTTTACTCTGTTTCTTCTTCCTCTTTTTCTTCTCCAAGTAAAGAAGGTTAAAGACCTGAACCCGTTGTCTGTCACCATGGTAACTAGTGTTGGGTTACATCATGTTGCAATTTTATAGCAGAAGGGATTTAGACTCCTGTCACCATATATATGAATGTGTTTGAGTAAGAATTAACAGAGCAGACCATATGCGAAGGTAAACATTATGCATTTGCTTTACAAATGTTACTTTTCTGGTTAATTAAGATTAATTAATTTCCCAGAACTCTGGAGAAGATCCGTTCGGAGCAGCTGGAGGCGCGTAAGCAGCTGGCCGTGTTGGACAAGCAGAGCGGGGAGCTGGAGAAAACCATCGAACGCGCCAAGAACGTCCCTATAGATCCCGACCAAGATGTAAGGGTTGGCTGTCTTCTTAACTTCTGTCATAGATGTACTGTCTCTTGTACACTTCTGTATGCTTAGTCATTGATAGTTGATAGCCATTGGGCATCATCAAGTGTTGGCCTGTGTAAATTATGTGGTCACAGTTTTGCCCAGACGTGCCCCGCAAACCATATATCTTGCTTCTAAACCCTGGTAGTGCAGTACTTACTTTTGCAGTAAAGGTGCCCCATTTTCCATTGGGAAATATTAACTGAGAATTCCCTTCCGTATTTTACATATGCCCTGGGTTTAGGTTCGGACTCAAGTCCAGACCAGAACCTAAACCTCTGAACTTAAATCCGGACCAAGACCTGAACATGGGTTTAGGTGCACAGCACTATATGAAATTTGACAAATTGAAATTTTTATATTGAAATTTGACAAAGCAACTCTTTGGTTCTCCCCCAGAGTCAGGATGAAGGAGGCGGTGATGATACAGAGTTGAGTATCTACTGTGTGTCCTGTGGCCATCCTGTTCACCCTCACCGAGCACTCAAACACATGGAGAAGTGCTTTGCTAAGGTGGGCATGGTTTTTGTACTCAGGCAATACAATATAGTCACTAATATGTATGATACAGAGTTGAGTATCTACTGTGTGTCCTGTGGTCATCCTGTCCACCCTCACCGAGCACTCAAACACATGGAGAAGTGCTTCGCTAAGGTGGGCAGGGTCTTCTGTTTGTAGACAATGCATAGTCATAGTTACTGATGATACATGTAGTTGTAAAATGTTATACTTAATTTCATTTTCAACACACAAGGTTACATAGAGATCAAATTTTCAGCCACCGCTGTTGCCTTCATCAGGATAATGAATGACCAATCACTTCAAAAGGTAATCTCGTGAGAGTTACGGTAACAGACACGTGACCTTATTATTCACACAAGACTTTACAGACACGTGCAGCATTTTTCAGTATAGAAGGACTCAAAGACATGTTCATTTTAACTAATATTATGTACTTAATGTCTCCTTTCAGTATGAAAGTCAAACATCTTATGGGTCCATCTACAAGACAAGAATAGAAGGGTAAGACTCTATGTTTTATACACATTTGTATGTACGTTGTAGCCTTGAATATTGGTACATTTACTATTTAGAAAGTGCCGTTGCTTCTCTCATAGGACAGCTTATTACATAAGGTGTTGCATACACTTATGATACAGCCCTGAGTTTGAAATTGTGTTTTGATAACTCTTGGTTTATTTTCTGCAGAGCCAATTTTTTCTGTGACTACTACAACTCGCAGAACCAGACGTACTGTAAGAGACTGAGAGTCTTGTGTCCGGAACACACCAGGGACCCAAAGGTAAGAAACATTTGATACCACATTGGCAGAAACTACATGTAAGTAGTTACTCCTGCTTGAAACTCAAATTGTGTTGTGCATAGCACTTTGGCAGAACATACTGCTCCTGCACGATGGCATTCCATCTATAGTTTTCAAATGTATGAAACTATAGATGGAACTTCACAATGGAAGGTGGACGGAAGTCTGCAACAGGTGAACTTCAGATGCAACGTTGACCAAACAATTTGCATTTCACACAGATGCAGCGCAGCCCTTTTCATACTTTCTAACACTGTTGCCAACACAAATCAGGCGGTAAAAAGCTTCCTTAGCAGGGAGAAGGTTTAAACCTTGTAGAGGTGCCAAAATATCTTGGTGGTAGGAATTCACTATGCTTACCAAAGGAAAACATTGTTTTTGCTCTGTTTCCTCTTCTTCTTCTCCAGATAAGGTCAATGACCTGAGTCAGACATTTGTCACCATGGTAACTGGTGTTCGGTTACATCATGTTGCAATTTTATAGCAGGAGGGATTTAGACTCCTGTCACCATACATGTATATATTAATGTGTTTGAGTACAGAGCAGAGCATATGCGAAGGTAAATATCATGCATTTGCTTTGCAAATGTTACCTTTCTAGTTATTATAGTGGTTTCAAATGTACATACCAGTGTCACAGCGCCCCCTATCATTTTCTCAGGTGAATGCAGATGATGTTTGTGGCTGTCCCCTGACCAAGAACGTTGTGGACACGACGGGAGAGATCTGCCGGGTGGCCAAGAGGAAGTGTAACAAACACTACGGCTGGGAGAAGCTCCGCAGGGCTGAGATCGACTTGGAGAGGGTCCGACAGGTAGGGGGACATCTCAACACAACTTTGTCATTCCTAGAAGGATTGGTGTTGTTTCTTTGTTTGTTAAACTTAAAGAGGGCAAAGCATGACGAAAGAAAGACTAAACTTTCATTCTAGCACTGGAATGAATTGGGACTTACCCCAAATTTTCAGCTGACCATTTCAACCTCGTTCACAGAATGGACCCGTCTACTCTTGGAACGTGACGTCAGAGACACCGTAGTAGTGGGCCATACGTGCCAGATAACTCTGACGTCACATTCCAAGAGTAGAAAGGTCCATTCTGTGATCAAGGTTGTAGGAGTCCAGTGGAATGAAAATTTAGTCTTTATTTCTTAAAGAGAGCAGGATTACAGAATGACAATTTCCTTTCTTCCTTGCAGTGGTTAAAACTGGACGATCTGTTCGAGCAGGAGCGGAACATTCGTTTTGCGATGGCGAACCGCTCGGGTCTGCTGGGCCTGATGCTGCACCAAACCATCGACCACGATCTTATGAACCAGCAAAACGCAAACTTCCAGCAGAACTCCGAGTGACGCAAGCTTAGGTGCCACAATGTTGTAATGTTGAATCAATATGGCAGCTCCTGTATCTGTATCTGTATAGCCGGTATAACCGCCCTTTGGCGTAGCACGCCAGCTTTGCGGCGGCAGCTGGCTACATTACACCAAACAACTTGTTACATGTACCAAGACCTTGAACATCTAAATATTGTTCAAAACTATCTAATGAAGCTTGTCTCGTTAATGAAGATTCGTACTAAAAGAGCTTGTTGATTACAGTGTCTGTGAGTTGATGGAATCTTGTTGTTTGTGATTGACAAAAATGCCACAAAGCTTACATTTACAGCAAAAGAAATAATGAAGTAATGATTGCAAAAGTTGTGACAGGTTTCAAACATGAGGATACAATTTTCTTCTTGTTGAATAGGAAAATAGCTCAATTACTAGTCTAGTTCTAACAGATTAGTATTTCCTCTCACAATGAAAATTCATTCTAAATTCAAACTATGTCTGAATTTTGCCTCAACCACAGTTGAATCACATGTTCATCAAAGATATTGTAGATTGTTTCTGCATTTCAATGTTGTCATACAAGCATTGTATATTCCAATGTTGAATTGAAGTTGAAGTTCAATAGCACAGTAAATATATGTGTATTGAATATTGTTACTACTTCCATTTTATTCAAAAAGTTTTATTTTCTGTACAAAGTATTTTATACTGTTTAAAGTTCTACTACTGTAAGAGCAATTGTTAAGAACATACTAGTGGTTGTTAAATGAAAGGACTTAATGTTGTAAATATTAGACTAGAAAAATAGACAGTGCATGTTGATCGAATGTCATAGCCTCCAGAGTAGTTGTGAAATAAAAGTGAACAATTAATTGTTCTTGTGTGTATGAAGTGCATTGTGATTGTTGTGCATCGTCTACCAGATACCTTTGACCCAGTGTTGATGTCACACTTCAAAGAAGCCACGTGACAAGCCTCACTGGGTCAGTCTACTGATGAAGACCAGAGTAACTGGTCAAAAGCTCTAGGTGAGAGAATTTTTTGTGTTGGACCAAAAGTTTTACATTTACAGGTGATAATGTGTACTCATTGTACTTGTAGAGTTCAGTAATGCTCAAAGACTGTGGACGAATAAAACAATGCAATATAATGTAACCCAACACCACAGGCTGTCTGCTACAATGCTAGTTACCATAATTGATTGTGACAGACGTCTGGTTCAGATCATTGACTTTTATTTGTTTGGAGAAGAAGGAGAAACAGAGCAAAAACAGTATGTCGTCCTTCTGAGAAGGTAAACATAACTACTGACTATTAAGGGAAAAGAATAACATGTAAGCTTTATTGCTTTCAATAGTCTGGCTTAGTTTTCAAAAGTCGAGATTTTGTATACCCCATGAGAGCCTAATCTGCAGTACCGGTTCTGGTCGCTGTGAGAAGATTGTGCAAAAAAGGGCGTCTGTTCAGAAATGGAGAAATTGAGGAAGGCTCGTTAAGGAGTTTCCAAGGTTTCCTGTGGTTTAATACTAGTACATTGTATTCTAATTTCTAGTTCAAGAATTTAACGTATTAATAGAAGAAAGGAAGTGTTGCATCTATAATGAAACCCTAGACTGAACAGAGATATCAAATCAATACAAGTGATAATAATACAGAGGATTTAATCCAACAAAAAAGTGTTAAGCAAAGAGGTAGAAGGTTATACATGTAACATATAACGTTATAATGATAGTAATATAGTATCAAAAGCCGTATTTACTATAGCCAAGTAGACTCTATTGAAGAGATCTCAAAATCTCATGCATTACTTGACTTCTTGGAGGTCGTAATACTAGAATACCAGGAGGTTCAAAGACAATAGAGTCTGTATTATGTACAAAGTGCAGTTCTCTATAAAACTGGCAGGGGGCGTGGGTACTATAAAATGTTACCATAAATGGATTTTGTTTAAAGTTAAAACTTTTGATCGCAACACAACAAAGTTCTCTGGGTCACTGGGTCAGTCTATTGAGGAAAACCAAAGTGACAAGTAGAAAGCTCTAGGTGAGAGAACTTTTTTGTATTGGATCAAACTTTTCAACTTTAAACATGTAACTACCAACACAGATGAACTTTCATGATAATAAATGGTTTTTGTACGAACTGTTCTCACCATCACAGCATTTCAATATGAAATGCCGTTTATATTTCATTCGAACAGAAATTTCACCATTAAATTACGTATTCATAGCATGAAAACACAAAACCGGGGGTATAGCTTTGGTAATCTCCAAGCAGATCATACGGTGGCAAGACAGTATCCATTGGCCAGAGGAGTGTCCATTAGACACCTTCCACCGTATGATCTGCTTGGAGATCATAGTTTTGGCACGTTCTGCATGCAAGCCGGCTTATTCTGCTGCACACAGTATCTTTGGCGCTTTCCG